TATTAGTGTCTATTAATCTTGGTTGGGTAACGTGATTACTGACACATGTACTTGTTGCGTTTCAGATTGGCAACAGGATCATTAAGAAGAGGCTTCATGTGCGTGTGGAACACGTGCAGCAGTCACGGTGCGCAGAGGAGTTCAAGCTGAGGAAGAAGAAGAACGATGAGCTTAAAGCTGCAGCCAAAGCCAAAGGTGAGACAATAAGCACCAAGAGACAGCCTAAAGGACCCAAACCAGGATTCATGGTTGAAGGTATGACCTTGGAGACAGTCACTCCCATCCCTTACGACGTCGTCAACGATCTCAAGGGAGGCTATTAGTTTTCTACTTTCTTCCCCCAGTGTTTTGTGTGTTCGGATCTTTCCTTCATATGTTTTGTAGCAACTTGAACCTTTCACTTTTATATAGCAGGAGACATTGCTTTGAAACCTTCCCATTTTATAATGTCTCTTTTTCAACCAATTAGTTTACCTTAATTAATTTAAAAGCCCATTTTAGGCCCACTTTGAATAAACGCTGAGTCAGATTTAAGATAACATTGATGTGGGGGCCCACGAAGATCCACGCGTTTCCACGTGGCGGTCACTAACACAACCTCCTAGTTTTACTTGTTTTCAACACTGATGAACTCAGAACAGTTAAGAATGGTAAACTCTTCTGTTTCTCTTCCTCCGTGAATAGGGGACGATCATCTCTGTCATTCTTCTACTTCCTTTAGAAGAATACAGATAGAAACCAGCTGCTTCTGTATGTTTTTGTTCGTTAATTCTGTTTTTACACTTTCAAATGTCCTTAAAATAGATTAATAGAAAGTAACTTCTTTTCACCCCCTAAATTATCTTATACGTCATCTCTCCCTCATCTCTATTCATCAAACTCTTCCTTTTTCATTCTTTTGATTCCAAATCAAAAGCACATTTGTTCCCTTTTTGTGTTGGGAGTATTAATCTATTATGGGCTGCAGCTGCTCTAAAGGAGCACGAGAAAATGATACAATCGACGAGAACATAAGCAACAACTATGTTAAAACCTCCAAGAACAAGAGAAAGCCTACTTCTTCCAGCATAGCCATTGTAGGATCCGATGAAAGGTCAGGCTTCATTTATTCCAACAAAGACAACGATACCACATTGGCGGTTTTGATACCAAGTGATCCCACAAACTCAACTCCCTTATCATCTGGTGAGGCTGAGAAGAAGGTGAATATCGAGAGAAAATCTTCCAGGTCTTTGTTCCAGAGAAGGCCTACCATTGAGACCAAAAAAGTAGGAGCACCGCAACAACCTATGATGACTAGGATAACAAGTGTTAGTAATGGAGAAAGAGGTGCTCAGGTTGTTGCTGGTTGGCCTTCTTGGTTAGCTTCTGTTGCTGGTGAAGCTATCAACGGTTGGATTCCACGTAAAGCTGATTCCTTCGAAAAATTAGAAAAGGTCAGAGCCCTTATTTTGTTAATATATTGTATGTTGAGATCATTTATTGACATTGTTGTTTACTGTTATTAGATTGGACAAGGGACGTATAGCAGTGTGTACAAAGCCAGAGACCTAGAGACAAACCAACTAGTTGCATTGAAGAAAGTGCGGTTTGCTAATATGGATCCAGACAGTGTTAGGTTCATGGCAAGAGAGATAGTCATCCTTCGTAGGCTTGACCACCCTAATGTCATGAAGCTTGAGGGTTTAATCACTTCAAGGGTATCAGGAAGTATGTATCTTATATTTGAATACATGGAACATGATCTCTCAGGTCTTGCTTCAACCCCTGGTGTTAAGTTCTCTGAGGCACAGGTATTATTACTAACTAGTATGAGAGTATGCAATTATGTGGTTGGTTCTCATCTATAGTGTTTGGTGCAGATTAAATGCTATATGAAACAGTTGCTTCATGGCTTAGAACATTGTCATAGCAGAGGTGTATTGCATCGTGACATCAAGGGCTCTAATCTACTTCTTGACCATAACAACAATCTCAAAATTGGAGATTTTGGTCTTGCTAATTTTTATGGTGACCACAAGAAGCAGCAGCTTCTTACTAGCCGTGTTGTTACTTTGTGGTACCGTCCACCTGAGCTTTTATTCGGGTCAACGGACTATGGCGTTGCTGTGGATATGTGGAGCACAGGTTGTATTTTAGCTGAACTCTTTTATGGGAAGGCTATCATGCCTGGAAGAACAGAGGTTGAACAGCTACACAAGATTTTTAAACTATGTGGTTCACCTTCTGATGAGTATTGGAAAGGATCTAAACTCCCACATGCCACCGTCTTTAAACCTCAGCAGCCTTACAAGAGGTGTGTAGCTGAGACTTTTAAGAGTCTTCCATCTTCAGCTTTGGCATTAGTGGAAGTTCTTTTAGCTGTTGAACCAGATGCTCGTGGAACCACAGCTAATGCACTTGAAAGCGAGGTAAAAGCTATGAAACACTTCTTGTCTGATTGCTAGTAGTAGCCTCTATATGTCCTTCTTGTCTCACACTTTTGTTCCTTTTTGGTTTGTTAAATAGTTCTTTACAACAAAACCTTTTGCAAGTGAGCCATCAAGTTTACCAAAGTACCAACCGAGAAAGGAAATTGATGTGAAGCTTCAAAAAGAGGAAGCAAGACGGTAACATCTAGATTCTACTTCTATCATAGTATTGACATTAAAAATGGATCTTATATACGTCTTTATTCACCAGAAAGAAAGGTACAAGCAGTAAGCAGAATGAGTCAAAACAAGCATCTAAAGAATCTAAAGCAGTACCAGCTCCAGATGCCAATGCCGAGTTACTAGCATCAATACAAGTACGTAAGATTATAGTATTAACAGACATACTTTATGTTTATATGTATTCTTAACCTTTGGTTTTCTTTTCTTGTTTGTAAAAGAAACGTGAAGGGCAGAATAACCAGACAAGCATGAATGAGAAGGTCAATCCTAATGAAGATGCAGCAGCGAAGGGTGTTATGACGAGGGATTCGAGTCGGTCTCCTCCTCCTAGAAAAGAACTGAGGATGCAACGGTCTTTTGTTCAACGTGGATCAGCACAGTTGACAAAATTCTCAAACTCGGTAGCTGCTAGAGATGCGTCACATTTCGCTATAGCAAATCCACGGTGGTTTGAAGATAGGTACAATAATAAAAAAGGAAAGCAAAACGATGGTGATGGGTCTGAACGTTTGCTGGTTAATAATCCCAAAGACTCTGCAAAAGACAAAGAATCCACTGGTAAGGAAAACATCTTGACCATAACTTTGCTTTGCAGTGAAACTTTTTGTGGGCTAATCACATTTTTGGTTTTTGATGCTTAGGGTGACTGTGAAAAAACAGAGAGAATGAACATCTCTGGGCCAAGGAAACTTAGATGCAATGATGAAAGAACATGAAAGAAAGATTCAGTTAAGCTGTTTGAGTGGATAAGAAGACAAATAGGGACAAAGTCAAGCGTCTCTTGATGCAAATGGCATCAGATAAGAATCTTTTGGGAGTTATCAGAAGGAGAAAGAAAGTTTGAGATTTTACAACGTAGAGTCAGTTGATCTTTTGTGTAAAGTTGAAAGCTAAAATTGTGTAATTTATTTGATTCTTCATTATTTGTAATTTTTTTTAACTGTTTATGATACGTAGTAATGGTTTTACGTGAGTCTATATAATGAAATGAAATGTTTAGTGGCGGCTATACCAACAAACTTGAATAGAAATGCTTCTTCTCTCTTTGCTTATTGCAGAACCTGAAATTAGCTGCTCTGTCTTTTTCTCAAAAGTACATTTAATAATTTCTCCTTCCCTTCATGTCTAAGCATAAACCTAACTTCCTATTTCATCTCATTAGCATACATATCTATAACCATTTAGGATTCAAGTTGTTGAATTCTCAAGAACACCAACAAATGAGGACTAGAACAAGTCAAAGCCACGAGCTCAAGCTCCTCCTTGTTTGTCTTTTTGACAGCAATTTACACGGCGGGAATGATGGCAAGGAACAGGAAACGGGTGGGAGAGACTGATGTGTTTGTGCATGATGTGAATAGGGAAGTGGAAGATAAGTTCTCTACGGCTTTATTGTGTGAAGGGTACATGAAGAAACAAGAAGGAAGACTAAGGCATTTCGTTATCCTTTGCTATAGAGATGGATCAGAATCAGAATCAAATAGACCCTTTTGTCCATAATTGACAAAATGTTTACCTAACAGTACTCTGATTCTCCTCCAAATCCGAACTATTTGATCTTGCTTATTGTTTTCTACTTGTTCACAGCTTGTACTGAAGAGCCTAGACAAAGCTCGAAGAGTATAAGAAATTTAGAGAAAGTATAAAAATCTGACACTAGTAACTAAATATAAACAAAAAAACCCTGCAAACTCTCAAACCTTCTTCAACTTCTGACTTGTAGTTGAAAGCTTTTCCCACGCTATCTTATGAATTCTCTGTGATGCCGAAGGATCTAATAAGTTTATAGTATTGTTTTCGAAATTTCTGTTTGCATTACAATCTACCAATCTCTTAAGCTTTATGATGAATAGTATTTTTTAGGATTCACAAGTTCCAAGAAGAGTCTTTGTGCAGAAAATTAATAAAACCTTTTAATCAAATCATTGACCAATGCGCTTCCAGGGGAGGCGGCTCTTGATATAACGAATTTTCCAACTATGGTAACAAAGAAACAAAATAAGAGTCAGTCAAAATCGAAAACTAAAAACAAAAAAAAAACAGAATTAAACCGAAACGAACCGACACAGAACCAGAGACTGTTCTCCGAGACCACCAGATAACATTATAAAAACCCTAATACGTAGTATCTTCCATTTCAACACTCTTGTCTCCGCCTCATTTTAGCGTCCACGAACACACGCCTGGTAAGACATCCATAGATCGAACAACTCGTAATCTCCAGCTTAGCTTTTTTTTTTAATTTTTTATTGCAAGCTCTCACTACTTTGATGTGTGTTTTCCTTGGAAACAGATCCGTTATCAGAAGCACAAGCTTAGGTGGTATATATTCTCCGAGTCTGAGCAATGGCTTTGGTGAGCTTCTCTCTTTGATTAACTCTCACCTTACTATTTACCATCCCATCATGTATCCATGCCACGCTGCTTAGATCATTAGTCTAGTTTAATCTATTCGATTTAGGTCTGAACATATATTTAGCTACTGAATTGATTACTAGTGTTGAGAGTTTTAAAAGCTCGAGAATGTACACTTGATAAAATCTCAGTAGCTCGATTGATATATGTAGAGAGAGGGCATAAAAGTCATTATTC